AAGTGGCATATTTTGGGGTGTCATTTCTAAGCCCCAATGAGAGAGAGAGAGAGAGAGAGAGAGCGCTAAAACATGCAAGTCACAATCGTTTATAAACTGATCTTGGAAGTGGCATCCTGTCACTTTGTAACATTCTGTTCATCAAAGGTAAATCACTAGGTCTAGTTCATGCTCAAGGGGAGGGGATATACAAAGGGAATAAATAACAGAAGGGAGTGACCATTGGAGAACAGAGCAAGGGCCTACTGCAGGCACTTGTCATTCATGACATTCTTCTTAATATATTTGTTAACCAATTCATAGGAGTGTGTTGAGCACATTACAACGTTCAATACAATCTCTATGTCATAGATGTGAACTATATTGTATCAAGTACTCTAGTAATTTAGAATGTTCCAATTTTCCAAAATAATTTCCTAAGTCATCCTGCCTCCCAATGTAAAAAACAGGCAAATATAATTCAGGTTATATTATGATTAGCTAAGTGAACTATTTATATATGTTTTCCAGCTCACATATGGAAATGAATATTTGGGTTCTAGCCATTTACATATCCCCCCCACCCCACTCCACAGAGATTTGAAACCTGTATTCTATCTTAGATCTGCAAGCAAGTTCTATATTAAAATGTACCTACTGTATCCTTTTTCTTTTTAAATGAAATTTTAAAAATTGTATTTTTATTTGACAAGCAATCGTATGTCTTATATATTTACTGGGTACAATGTACACCTGTTAGAAAAGCTATTGTCTGAAAGATGAAAGATAAATATTGGTGAGGGTGTTGAGAAAAGCAGACCCTTGTATAGTTTGTTGGGGCTCAGAAACTGATACCCTGAAATATGTCACTAAAGCAGTGTCTGGGGTTCGAATATCTGAGGTTCATTGCCTCATGCCAAGGAAATCAAGGACAGGGACACACAGGGAGTGAGTTTAAGAACAGAAGTTTAACAGGCAAAGGACAAACGCTCCCTTGTGCAGAGGGAGGGTTCCGAGCACACCTCCCAGTTGGCGACCAGAGGCGGCTGGTTTTACAGATGAGCTTGAGGACACGATGTCTGATTCCCACAGGGTTTGAAGGATACGGTGGGGCAGGTGTGTCATTTACATAGCGTGTGAAGAAGTTGGCCACCCCACCATAACCTTTATTATGCGGGTGAGTTCTCTACCTGGCTGGCACCATGTTGCCTGCTCCTTTACTGCACCTGTGGTGACAAAAAAAAAAAAAAAAGCGGAAGGCGGAGCCTCGGTGTTGAGCAGACTTGGCTTCCAGGTATCCCTTTGTGTTGGCTGCCAGCACTCACCGTGCAAGCTTCTGGCTTGCCTCTCTATGTCTGCAGCTCGGTTTTACAGGCTGCCCTTCGTTAGAAATTATTTGGGGCTGTTTTTTGTTGAGAGGGAGGCCTCGCTGAGGACTGGTTTGCCCTCACTACCTGCCTACGTAATTTCTAGCTCCTATAGCAGCACTTGGACATGCTGAACTGAAGAGGAAGCCTCAAGATCTCTCTGACCTTCCTCCTCCAAACCCCGTGTCTCAGTCCTCTGTGTCTCAAAGCACAGGATGAAGCTGTTCTCCAGAGTTTCTTACCTGCCTAAAGTCCGCACCTACCAGAGAAGAAAACCACTGCCTCTGGCCCTTCCCTGAATGCTCATGAGCTCCAACGATATTGCAGGAAGGAAGACTGAAGTCGGACAGCAAACCTGGGCAAACTTTCCTCAAAACCAAGGTCCCTTTGTGAGCTGAAAAGACTCTGTCCCAGGCTGTTGTATGTTCTTTAAGCTTATTGAATCCGCCTAAAAATTATCCATACTTCCTCATCTCTCTTTCCCCTGAGAAACAGAGTATATAACATTGGTGTACCGTAGCGATACTAGACAATTACTCTGTGATTCTCCTCAGGGCACGCTAATACATTATATACCTTTTCTCCAAGTAATCTGCTTTTTGTGAGTTGATTTTTCAGTGAAGCATCAGAGGGCAAAGGGGAGGCTTTCCCTTGGCCCCTACGACTTGCTATAAATGTAAATTAACGCAGCCATTATGGAAACAGTATATTGTTTTTCTTTGAAACGTAACGTACTGCTACCCCCTCATCGGATTTCTTTCTCTTCATCATATGTAAAGACTTTATGGAGAATTAGGGTAACACACACAGTGGTATGTGCTCTTCTTTTGACATACTTGTCAAGCCACACTTGACAATATAGTTTTCAGTTCTTTCTAGGGTAGAGGATTTAGGGGGAATACACACACACACACACACACGCACACACACATTTACAATTTGAAATTGCTTTGCTATTTTCTACATTTACAAGACCATTTCAGTTCTCTTCATCCAACACGTGGGAATACTTCACCGTGACTAACACTTTCTTGTCTTTATCGGCTCAGATAAAGAGCACAGGGCAAAACCCAAGGCAGAAATTAATAATTAGCACAAAAATGGGAAGCGAGAGATGTTATTTTACTTTTGTTACATTTATGAATGTACATACAGACCCCAGAAACATATAAACAAATATCAGAATATACATATCTTCCTTCAAAATTTGAGAAGAGTAAAAATGATTTTATTCCTTTTTCTAAAAATAAGTTCTAGGCTTGCTGTGCTGGAACCTGCTGAAAAGCATGTTGTTCACCTGAAAGAGAGAGAAGAAGCGATATCCTGAAGACGTAGGGTAAAATAAATGATATCACCAAACACAAACGGATATACTGAGTGCTATACAAACCCCAAAGAGCGTATTACAAGTTGAAGAGGGCACGGTATCAATTATATCATTATCTCACCCTACTCTCTGGCTGAATAGTCTGAAAGCCTAAAATTACAGTTGATGTTAGATTTCTTGGCTTCATTTGCAAATTGGAGTCATTTTCCCCCTTTTTGTTGAATGCCATAAACACATGTTTTATTGTTAAAGAGTAGCAGTCCTTTTAGTTTGTTATGATGTTTTTCTTCTTTTTGTCCCTCATGTCAAAGGGCCTTTAAAAAAAAATGGATTGTAGCAAATTGGTGTAACATTGTATTTCTGAATGATTTGCAATGGTCTTAAGTACCATTTGTGCTTAGGCTTTTTGGCATACCATTTTTTAGGAGACCAGATCTGGAGAAGGCCCTTCAACTGGCCAGATGTGCCATTTTGGAACAGATCGAGGGCCTGCCAAAACACCATTTGTTGCCAGTACCGGATATTGTAGGGGTGCTCATCACCCTGTTACCATATTTTTGCACTTCTTAACGTTGCATACATAGGCAGCTGTTCTGTATTTAGAATATAAATGAGTCACCAGCTTGCTCTCCCTGGAGGATTTACCTGCAGGAGGGAACCACAGTGTTAACCCCTTCTCATCGGTTGCATGAATGTCACATTTAAATGCACGCTTTCCTCAGCCCATTCAGAAGCAAATCCTTATGCATGCAAATCACACCTTTCTTGCCAGTTAGACAAGGGGGCCAAAAATATGCAGTTCGCAGTGCTAAAATGGAACACATTTCTTTAGCAGTGAAAGCAGTAAATTAATCAGCTTATAAACTGAGAGTGAACAATTTGTGCTGAATTATTTCTTACTGCTCCTTCCATAAGAGCAGGTTCTCTAATCTCATAAAGGGCCGTGACTTCATTAAGATGGAAAACCGTGTTAAAGGATGTGTTGCAAGAGACGAGAAAAGAAAAACCCTGGAAGTCACTGAGTTGTCTCTCTGGAGCTCTTTAAGGACAGGGAGTTTTATTTATTTGGAGAATGACAATTAACCTACAGACTTGGCACAACAAAGAAGCAGAGTGCTGAAGTGGGTCTCATTATAGGACACGGAAGGCAGTTGGTTTGACCTCATCCCCACTCGCAGCACGTGATTTACATACCAGGCTACCACAAGCTGCCTAATGTTGATTTCAAACAGCTCGATGTGTGCGTGTGTCTGTGTGTGTGTGTGTGCATGCGTGTGTGTGTGTAGGTTCATTTTACCTCGAGGTACTTTGGAACCAAACTTGTCAGTGTTGGATGTCCAAGCACAGAAACAGTGAAGCCGGTCAGGAAAAGCCGAGGCACTTGTAGTATGTGGTACATTTGCTGATCTCAACTACTTTTTTGAATGTTTACCCTAAAATTGACGTAGCTCTGATTTACCACATAAACGCAGTCCTCTAGGGCTGAGCCATCTCTCCAGGCTTTTCATCTTGTCAGGAGCAGAGAAGCGCGAGTAGATAGATAGGTGACATTTGGAGAGGCAGGCATGCCAGATTTTCGGTGGTTACAGCGGAGGCCCAACCTGCTGTTCTCCTTAATGAAAGGAAGGAAATTTCAGACAGGCAAAACTGCTATAAGGGATATCTCTGCCCTGAATGTCACGCTGCCCAGATGTCACTCGGCAGGTGGAGTTGCAGAGAGAATGAAAATGTAGCCCTGCGTACGTGGGTGCTAGTGCGCTGCAAGGGTGAACTATGAGTCTGTCTCTGAAGTGTAATGAAAACAGTGTGGATCTTGTCTATGTTCATGTCATGAGAAAGGACTTCCGCAAAGAATTCTCACCCCACTTTCCCTCACAGACCATTAGGCTTGCAAGCTCACAAACCACGAGCGTGTATATATATATATATATATATACACACACACACATACACACACACACACACACATGCACACACACACACGAGTTTCTGTGTAGAAAATAGAATCATACTAATGAAGCGTTCTGCACCTTGCTTTTTTAATCAATCACACAACTGTACATGAATATTTCTCATTTTTTTGACTTATTTCATTTTTAAAATTGAATTTTTGACCAAAGGTGCACGATCATTTAGTCAGCCATTCTCCTGTTGATGATCATTTATGTTGGCTCTAGAATATTTTAAGGCGGATGTCGCTATGTTCTTAGTAAAAATCCAGGCAATTTTTACTAGAACAAGGTAAACAAGACTTGAAGTGACTTGTACAACAGAAAGCTTTAGTTACCGTCGCTGAGTTTTCTTTTCCTGTAATTATGTTTCCTCAGTGTTACGAGATGACTTCCGACAAAACCCCACAGATGTTGTAGTGGCAGCTGGAGAGCCTGCAATCCTGGAGTGCCAGCCTCCCCGGGGACACCCAGAACCCACCATCTACTGGAAAAAAGACAAAGTTCGAATTGATGACAAGGAAGAAAGAATAAGCGTGAGTTAAATTAAAATCGTGGCCCAGAGAGATTGAATTTTCAGTCTCAAAATACAAAATAGATGTATTTTATCCTTTAACTTATTATTAATATAATTGTTTTTGAATGTTAATTACAATTTATACTGCCTTGAAAAGATTTAAAAACATTTGGATGAGACTATAAGAGACAAAAATTATGTAAATCCAGAGTACATGAAATATTAATTGCACCAATCTGAATTGTATCTTTACCCTGCAATATTTGGCTTTTTTTTTTTTTTTTTTTTTTTTTTGAAACGGAGTCTTGCTCTGTCGCCCAGGCCAGAGTGCAGTGGTGCGATCTCCCTCACCCCAACCTCTGCCTCCTGGTTTCAAGTGATTCTCTTGCCTCAGCTTCCCAAGTAGCTGGGACTACAGGCGGGCACCTCCACGCCCAGCTAATTTTTGTGATTTTTGTATAGACGGAGTTTCACCATGTTGGCCTGGATGGTCTCCATCTCATGACCTCATGATCCACCCACCTCAGCCTCCCAACGTGCAGGGATTACAGGTGTGAGCCACCGTGCCCGGCGGATGTTATAGCTCTTTTATAAAAGCTCCAGAAGCTTCTGTTAGCCATGCAGTACATGAGTGTTAAACTATAAATGATAGCCATAAGCCATATTAACTACATCTAATTTTGCACCATTTTCAAAAATTATAAGGGAAAATAATTTAAGGTGATGAATATCTCAAATGCTGTTTCCAGTTTTTCCAATTAAATAATATTTATAACAGTAAAATTTTATACATGAATTGATTTAAAAGCAGATTGAATAGATATGAAATAAAATTGAAATCAAAATAGCTGACTGATTCTGCATGTTAGCTCATGCGGAAAAATAACTGTTTTCAAAGGAAATTTATAATCAGATTCATCAGTTGATTAATATTCAAAATGAAACACACAGAAACGGGAATGGCATGTCATCGTTTTATTTCTTCAGAGGATCCATGCAATATTCATATGTGAAGTTTTTAAGTGAGAACCAACCCACAGAAATAGTATATAATTGCTTAACTTTCTGATATTATTCAGTAGTAAAATTTTTATATTCAGTACAACTCAGAGTGAATATATTTAATTTAAGATAATTTCTCATTTGGCTGAATAAATGTGCCATTTTAATAAAAAATCTATAAAGTATTGATATTATATTAATATATATATAGTCTTTATATATATATATATATATATATAAAATTTTTGTGTGTGTGTGAGATGGAGTCTCGCTCTGTTGCCCAGGCTGGAGTGCAGTGGTGCGATCCCGGCTCACTGCAAGCTCTGCCTCCCGGGTTCATGCCATTCTCCTGCCTCAGCCTCCCGAGTAGCTGGGACTACAGGTGCCGCCACCACACCCGGCTAATTTTTTGTATTTTTTAGTAGAGATGGGGTTTCACCATATTAACCAGGATGGTCTCAATCTCCTGACCTCATGATCTGCCCACCTTGGCCTCCCAGAGTGCTGGGATTACAGGCGTGAGCCACCGCACCCGGCCAATGTGCACAGTGTGATTACAACATAAAACAGAACCAGATAGGCTGTGGAAGAGATAACAATGTATATTCATGTGTTTCTGGTATAGAGGAAAAGAGAATTTTTCCCTTCACCCTTCAAAGATTTAAGTCTTTTAGTCCGCTGAAATAAACTGGCAATAGACAGTTTAATGGAAGGAGAAGCATAGAAAAATATTTATATGTAAGTGCAGGGGAATCATACAAAGTATAAAACTCAAAGAAGGGATAGATGGTTGAAGCTTAATTACCCTCTTCATAGGATGAGGGAAGTGGGGATAGTAGGCAGTTTCAGAGGAAGATTAAATGATCCTCATAGAAGATGAATGGGCCCAACAAATAGACAATAGCCTGAGACAAAGTTCCTCTGACCTCTGGGAGAGGTGGTAACAAGTTCTGGGAAGGTGAGGGGCAGAACTGCACTGCAAACAAAGGTTTTCTTATTACGTAGATAAAGTCTCTCAGATGACAACCCCAAGAAGAATAGTTGAACAGTCTGTCCAGTAGGCATGGTAATGACCTTTAGTTTCTTCTTTGGTAATTAATCTTTACAAGTTAATGAGATTTCAGACAGGGGATTTAGGGCAATTGTGTTTCTTTTGGAAGACCTTTTCGCAGTCAGATAAGGGAACTTTAGCAAGCTCCCCTCTCTGTTCTTGGGGCAAAGGAGGGGACAGAAACAAAGGAATGTCAGAGAGACATTGATGTTAAGGAAGTTTTTGAGGACTTACGATTTCCTTTAATTCAAAGTGCTCAGAAAGCCAAAGCATCACATTTTGGGGTATCATTTTCTGAGACCCAACACTAGTCTGACTGTTAACACTGTGAGATTGACATTACCAAAGAGAATTTTGTTCTCAGTGGGCTTGCTTGGGTACCAAGTTTATGAAAATGTACTCCCGATGATGGAGTAAAATCAGCCAATGTTTAAGGATTGGTAGTTTATATTTATAGCATTTAGCTCTTGCCTATTTAAAGGAGTGCTGGCAGCTGAATAATCCAGGATGACCTTCCTCAGAAGTTGGGCAATTGGTTGACTCTCAGCTGGATATCTTGGTTCCCCTCCTTATGATCTCTAATTTTCCAGCAGGCTAGTTCAGTAGGTTCCCATGTTGGTCTCAGGGTTCCAACTCGGCAAGAGAAGGCAAGACACAATGAACAAGAACCTTTCTTCCAGGGAAATATGTGCTTTAGTTCCGTTGGTCAAATCAAGTCGTGTTACCTAGCTCTCAGCCTCAAGGGGGAGGAGAAATGAGCTTCGTAGCCATTTTTATAAGCTCTCATTTTATTCTATTCTATTCTCAATTCTCAGACAGAATTGAGAACAGGTTAATGGTCTTCTCCGCCTATGTAAAAAAAAAACTTGAAAATTCCTTTCTGTAGCATGACAAGTTGTAAATCTTGAAACATCTCTGATAAGAGCCAACCTACATGAGTTGTGTTTGCCTGTGAAATTAAAAAATAATGGAGAAAACCAACATGTTCTTATCTTGTATTTCTTCAAGAACACTCAATCCTTGTAAAGCTAATATTGAATTAAATGAATACCAAAAAAAAAAAATGGAAAAGAAACTGAGTTATACATTTACTGAAAGCCTAACTCTGCTTTAATGTTCTCTTTAGCAAATACATATTTTAATATTATTGCATTTGTTTTTATCAGCCAATAAATGCTTCTCATTTAAGAAATCTTGAAGGGGAACCTATTAGATGCTAATGATTTATACCAATACATATTACCATTTTATAAATTGTGTTTGTTTTTATCCAACCTGCCATTTTCATCAAGAATTATCTCTTCAATACAAGTAATATGAGACAAAGATGATTAATACTAACAGTTGAAATGTGAATTCTAGGGAGACAAAGATTTTTACCATTTGATTTACTACTGTCTTTTAAGAGTCCAGAATACTGCATATATATATATATATATATATATATATATATATTCAGAAAGTATGTATACACACACACATATATATACTTTCTGAATCCCTCTGATTCAGATGGATTTTATTAGATTATTTAAAATGAATATCAGTGTTTCTGATGACAAATGACAATAGCAACTTATTCACATAAATTTCAGTGTGAAGACTAACTACTGGGATTTAGTGGGGTCAGTCACAAGACTCAAAATAGGATGAGGAAAGAGAGGACAGCTGCCTTAAAAAATATTTTCTATGAAGAAAGTATGGAAACTTATATTGAGGGTGAATTTAAGAAAAGAAAGCATACCTACAAATGCCAAAATAATGGGAGAGATTTTTCCTTTGGGAAACAAATATGCTTAAATACTCAAAACTATTTATTAATGACCTTTTATTTTCTGTTCTGTTCCTTTTTCTTTCCCTTCTCTTTTCTTTTTGTTTGATTGTAACAGATCCGTGGTGGAAAACTGATGATCTCCAATACCAGGAAAAGTGATGCAGGGATGTATACTTGTGTTGGTACCAACATGGTGGGAGAAAGGGACAGTGACCCAGCAGAGCTGACTGTCTTTGGTAAAACTTTCTTCTAAATTATATTTTTTTTATTTTTATCAATTTTTCTTTGCTTTTAAGTATTACTAACATTAAAACCTGGGCCATATAAGGACAGTTACTCATGACTTTTGGTAAGCAGTGACAAATTAGAATTATCTTCTTTTCTGGCTTTCCAATAAAAGCTTTGATGTAAAGAAAAAATTATTTGAAGCTTCAGTTAACTTACATTGTTCATATATTTGTTAGATTTTGGAGTTCATCAAAAGGTAAAAATATGTTCTTTCTCGAAGCCTATTTGAGATATTACATCTATGTAAAGTTTATCACTCATTCCACTCTCATGCATTTATCACGTAGCTATTATGTGCAAGACACAGGGTAAGGATTTTTAAAAATTAGAGAGTATAGTACAAAAAAACTTGTTTTCCCAGTTTTTAGAAATTCCAACTGAAGTATTTATAATTTCAACTATTGATAAAAATACTATGTATGCACACATATAAATTCAAAATTACAAAAAGGACCCCTAAAATGAGATATTTTGTTATGATATTCCTGTTCCTTCAACTTTAAGAACCAAGGCTCTCCTTAGCTGGATAAATGCAATTAATAGGTTAAAAACTGATTAGAACCATATCACATAAATGGTGGATAAAGTATCAGAAAGGAGAAAACTGGGGACAAAGATGGTCAAGGAAACAAATGTAAGGAAAATACTACAAGGCAACTGTGGAAGATTGAAAGAGAGATAAAATGACAAAAAAAATGGAGAAAACAGATATGCTAAATATACTAAAAAATTAAACACTCTTTTAGAATACACGGAAGTTCTATTCAAACCTCTGTATAGACACACATTTATAGACACACACATGCACACACATACGTGTACATATATGTATGTATATGTACATGTGTATATATACAATCTTCATTACACATTTTACTATTGCAGATATTAGGTGATATTTTAAGAGCAAAAATATCATTGTGATGTGTAAATTATTTTTCAGTACCAGTAAAATAATCCTCTACTTCTGTGCATGATATAAAATCCCTATTTGTGGTCATTACTCAGGACACACCCAAGTGTGGCACCAAAGCCCTGCATAGGTCCCTAAAGAAACTTCTTTTGCTAGTTTGGGAGATGCCATCCCATGGTGTAATGGGAGTGCCACTATAGAAAGAACTGTATCAAGATGTCTGCGATTTTTCAAGTGTTAAGATTGTGCTTTATGCATGTGTACCAGAATGCAGACCTCTCCTTTCAATCATTCTGAGCACCGGGTAATCTCTGGTAACACTCCCTGCGGCTACTAAGCAGCTTGAAGTCCCAAATGACAAAGCTAGGAGAAATCCCATAATTCGTTAAAGGAATTGAATAGAAAAACTAAAATTGTTCAAAGTGTGCATGTAGATTTCTATCCTGCAGAGCTCAGACAAGTGTGAGTTTGCCCCTTCCTTTCATGCAGTCCTCTGTAAGAGTCTCAAGATGTGCTCCATTCTGTAATGAATAAAATACAGTTTTGCCTGGGAAGATATGATATTAGTGGTCACTGAACGTTAGCATTGAAAGCCCACAAGTACAGCTCTTCTATTTAAAGAAACACTCGTTTCTGTTTTTCTGTAACTACCACAAACTCTGGAATAGAAAAAAAAAAAAAAAGCTGTATTACTACAGCATAGACTGCCTTCAGAAGGAAATTGAAAGAGTTTAATGTCATTACTGAAGCAATTAGACTTACCACTAATGAGATATCCTCATGAAATATTTACTGTACCTTCCCTAAAGAAATGATGAGAACTACTGGGGATTCCTAAACATGTCAAGAGTTATGTGAGAACTTCTAAATTATTTCGAAAATAGCTATCATCCAAAGAGATTGAATTTGTCTAGAGGCAGTTCCCCTGGCAGAATTGATTTAGGAAACTGAGAAATGTTTATTAGATGGTGTAAGCTAGTCAGAACTGACCTGAGGGGTGATAAGTACAAGATTAAGTTGAGGGAAAAACTAACTTTCCATTATTGGTAAGAAAACAACATCCAAATCCAAAAGAAAAACAACAACAAAGAAAGTGATGGTCCAAATCAAGGATGTGACAAGTATTGCCCGAGAAACCCCTTCTGTATCTTTGCTCCTTATTCTTAGAGAATGTAAAAGAAACAGTGTACTTATTAATAGAGAGATCTTCTTTATTTTACGCTGGTACTCCTACATCTAATACACATTTTCCAATAAAACTCTTTATATTTTAGCATTGTTGCATATTATCAGTTTTGTCCTAATGTTTACATAAGTAAAATTGATTATACTTCATACAATTTTATTTTCATGGAGCAGCAATTTCACTTTTAAAGGTCTGGCTACTATAACCATTCTGTAGCTACAGAAGGTTTTTAAATGTCCTTTGCAATTCAATCTTTACCTTAAGATATGTTATACAGAACAAGTAACATTTTGTTGTTCAAAAAAATAAGTATATGTATAAGTAAAGTAACATTTAATTGTTCAAGAAATGTAATTCACTTGTAAATGCCAAGAAAAACAGTGAAAGGATTAAAGTTTTTTTTCCAATATAATAGCTATCTACTTTCCGAGACATACTGCTAGGAAAAGGAATTTCTCAATTCTTCAAGTATTTTGATTCTAGTGGGCTTGGACTTTGAAGTTTTATAGTTTAATATTTCAACATTATATATTTTAAATGTGCCATTTGGTCATATCAAAGATATGATCAGTGTGACCTAATTTTAAAAAGTTACTGTGCCATTCTCCACAAATCACGTATTGTGGTTGATCTTCTAATATTTTTTGGCCATGAAATAACATCCTAATTAACTGGGCATTATCAAATCTAAAAATTAGAAGTAGGTATCATAGTCTACAATAGCACTCACATCTATGGCCTAATCTATACACCTTCCTGAAGAATAGCCCCTGGAAGTTTACATATGTTAAGCTCTAAAGATCCCGGATGGCAAAGAGAGTTGAAGTAAATAATTCAGTTTCTAATTATGAGTAGATATCAGAGAACTGCTATCCAAAATTCGACTGGTTTTTAAAAATGACATGTGGATTTCAAAATGATTTTTAGGTGTTTATCAATGCAATACATGAAAACTTATTTTATGTGTAACATTTGTAAAACATAATAAATATTACAAAACTTAGAATGAAATACAGGAATCTCTTGCCCCAACACACACACACACACACACACACACACACACACACACACACAGTCTCGCCCACACACACACATTTCTCATCATTTTACATTCTGTTTTATCTAGTTCTTCTGGGATTTGTTTCCGTATTTCTGAATATGTGCTTAACCTACTATTTATCATTGTATCAATGTCATATATTGTTTGACTTCCTATTATGGAAGATGACGATTTGGCCCACTTATATCTCCTTCCCCACCTTCTCACCTCCACTTTTCCTTCTTTTTCTCTTTTTGGTATATGAACTTCAGAAACATTGGTTATATTAATATTCAGAATTTGAGTTACTATAGTCATGTAAATATTATTGACTGTGAGTAGTATTATGACCGTATTTCTTTTCTGGTACTCTTTTGGTTCTTCTTTGAATTAATAATAAACCCATTTTCCCATTTACTTATGCTTGTCTATACCTGTCATGAATTCTTGAAATCTCTAACAGGAACTATAAAATCTTCTATAATCTATTTTTTTAGACTTTAGCTATTAAGTCCCCTTCACTACAGCCTTCCCTGAGGCTGCCTGATCTGACTTGGTTAGCTATTCCTTAGGTCTACCCCATAAACCTGATTCTGATTTTGTCTTCCTCATCTGTAATGTTGGATCTTCTGTTTTCTGCATGCTGTGTTTGTTTCTTGGTGAACCCCTCTTTTCAGAAGGGGGGTTCTCAACTTCTTTCTGCTTGGCTGAAGCTTGGAGCACATTCCAACCAAAACTCCTTTACTCTATCCAAACCTTAGAGTTCTAGTTTAGAATTATACTTTAGTTAGGGAATTTGACTTAAATAATATTTTTGCTTAGAATATTAAAGTTGTGACTCTAATAATCATTTAGCTTCTCATGATGCTCTTGAGAAATCTGTGATTCTGATTCCTGTATCTTTGTATGTGATCAGTTTTCTTTCTTTCTTTTTTTTTTTTTTTTTTCTTTCCAAATGTTTGGTACTCTCTTTACCCCAGTGTTCTGAAATGGTTCAATACTTTACCTTAGTTTGACACTCTTCTATCTTCCTCTCTATATAGGTGATAAGCAATCTCAATCTGAAAACTCTCAACTAAAACAATTCAATGAAATTTTTAATTTTAAATTTAATGAAAATCTTAATTTTTAATTTTAAATTTTTCTTTGTCAAACATGTTTTCATTAATTAGATTTTAAACCTCCTTAGTTTTTCTTTTCTCTAATTCCTCCTTACTTATAGCATCCTGTTCCTTTGTAGCAGAGAGTATTGTTTTTGTAATTTGTATTTTATTTTATTTTTTCCCCAACTTTTACTAAGTTTCCGGGTACATGTGCAGGATGCGTAGGTTTGTTACCTAGGTAAACTTGTGCCATAGTGGTTTTTGCTGCACAGATTAACCTATCACCTAGGTATTAGGTCCCGCATCCATTAGCTGTTCTTCCTGATACTCTCCCTCACCATGCCCCTTTGTCAGGCTCCAGTGTGTTGTTACCCCGATGTGTTCATATATTACCATTGTTCAGCTTCCAATCATAAGTAAGAACATGTATTGTTTGGTTTTGTTTCTGCAGTAGTTTGCTAAGGATAATGGCATCCACCTCCTTCCGCGTCTCTGCAAAGGACATGATCTGATTCCTTTTTCTGACTGCATAGTATTCCATGGTGTATTTGTACCACATTTTCTTTATTCAGTCTATGATGGGCATTTGGGTTGATTCCATGTCTTTGCTATTGTGAATAGTGCTGCAATGAACATACATGTGCATGTATCTTTATAATAGAATGATTTATATTTCTTTGGGTATATACCCAGTAATAGATTGCTGG